TGGATTTATCTCTGGGCTTTCTATTCTGTTCCATTGATCTATATTTCTGTCTTTGTGCCAGTACCATACTGTCTTGATGACTGTGGCTTTGTAGTATAGTCTGAAGTCAGGCAGGTTGATTCCTCCAGTTCCATTCTTCTTTCTCAAGGTTACTTTGACTAGCCCAGTTTCGTTTCCAGCTTCTCTCACATGCTTTCCCCTGTTCCACCCACATTCCATCCCAAGTCCCATTTCCTTCAAGAGGTCTCAGGTACCTGTGGCTGGAAGAACTGACTCATTTGTCTGTGGTCTGCTCATGGGCACTCATGTTACAGTTTATGCATCTGCCTGTCTCACCCATTAGACAGTTTCACATTGCTGACACTGAACTGGGCAGAGCCTTTGCAGTTATCTGGTTCACCTGGCTTCCTCAATTCTGACTTTTAATCGGGAGACACTAAACCCCAAGAGGAGAAAGGACTCTGTTACCCACAGTCACTCAGAAAGGCATGGAAGCTGGGACTGCAGCCCAGATTGGCTGCTTTCCGCTCTGGGGCAGAGACTGTGGACTGTCCCTGGGGCTTGGGACACAGCAGGTACCTACCTACCTAACCAAGGGAGTTCTCATCCTGATGTGAGGTACCTTCCAGGTGCCTGTTTATTTTCTCAAACCCTCATAACAGTGCTGAAAGACATGTATAATTATTCCCTTTCACAAAAGACTATGATAAGACTGGGAGGTGAATAAACTTGCCCGGGGTGAGTGGGTCAGATCATGCCACTCCTCTGCCCAAACCGTGCCCCCCCATATGTTTCTTTTGCAATTAGAATAAATCCCAGGGAAGGCCTTGCCCGAGACTCCCAGGCTCCCTACAGCCTGGCTGCCAGCTCCCCCTTGAACCTTACCTTCTACTGCTGCTTCCTTTACCCTCCATCCTACATCATGCCCAGCTATGCTGGCCTCCTCCAAGTGTGATCCCTCCACAGGGAGAATCAGGACAGTCTCCTGGCAGTGGCAGGATCCACCAAGCTTGTGCCCCAGCTGCATTCTCTGGCAAGCACATGTCCTAGCCTGCCTCCACCGCCCCTTGCAGGTGGTCATGCCCTAAGCTTGTTGTTTCCATAATCCCAGTTCCAAGCATCCCATCATCCTCACTTGCAGCTCATTCCCAGCAGCAGCCCAATATAAACTATTCTTCAGCCTCACTCCCATCTCCATTCCACTGTTCTTGCCAACTTTTCATGGTCCCTCAGCCCTCTTGTGACCTCACATCTTACCCATACATCACCCCTCAACACCCCACTCAGCTCCCTTGTCTGTCTCTCCCTTCTTTATATTTGGCCTCCACCTTGCTTGCACTGCGGAGCTGAATGAGGCTGGGGAAAAGCACACTGTTATGTTGATGGCTTCACCATCAATTCATGGTCTCTCACTCCTGTGATGCCTCAGAGATGCCTGCCTACCTGGTTATACTTCTCCAGTCTTGTTCTTAGTCACTCAGTTGTTTCTGACTCTTTGCGACCCCATGGACTGTAGCCTGCTAGGCTCCTCTGTCCATGGGATTTCCCAGGCAAGAATACTAGAGTGGGTTGCCATTTCCTTCTCCAGTCTCCAGTCTTAGATGGACATTTCACGCATCTCTCTCCTCAAGCTCCAAAGCCCCTTCCCCCTCTTAATTTCACTAAGAAAACAGAAGCATTCATGAGAAAACTCCATCATGCCCTATAGTCACTAACCCTCTTGGGCCTGAACCATTTGCCCCATCCTCCCTGCTGTTCTTGGGAATGAGTTCTCCATCCTCTGGGTAAGGCCAAGCCCTCCCCGTGGGCCTGTCGCCTCTGTGTGCTCCAGGACACTGGTGTGGTTACCATCCTGTCTCTACTGTATCATACATTTTTGCCTTCTCTATTGGATTGGTTCTATCAACATGTAAACATGCTCCTACAAAGTCCATCTTGACCCCCATGCCCCTCCCGCTATTAGTTTATTTTTCTTCTCTCTTTTATAGCAAAACTGTATGAAAGGACTATGTATGCTCTGATTCTAATATTTCTCCCTGTTTTCTCAAACTTTAATCAGGCTTTTGTCCCCATCAATCCATGGAGACAGCTCTTGTCAGTTTCATCAGTGACTTCTTGTTTTTAGTCTTTACATTTATTGGTCTAACAATCGTGTTGAACTCAGCTGGTTATGTCCTTCGTGGAAGCTTGTTCCCCTTGGCTTCTGGAGATCACCTCCTTTTGGTTTTCCTTCTGTACTTCTCTGGTCACTCTTTCTCGGGTTCTTGGCAGATTGCCTGTGGCTTCCTGAGCTGTGTAGGGGAAAGTTGCTCAGTTGTGACTGACTCTTTGCGACCCTGTGGACTGTAGCCTGCCAGGTTCCTCTGTCCGTGGAACTCTCCAGGCCAGAATACTGGAGTGTGTAGCCTATTCCTTCTCCAGGGGATCTTCCCAACCCAGGGATCAAACCCAGGTCTCCCTCATTGCAGGCAGATTCTTCAGCTGAGCCACAAGGAAAGCCCAAGAATACTGGAGTGGGTAGCCTATCCCTTTTCCAGCAACTCTTCCCAACCCTGGAACTGAACTGGGGTTTCCTGTGTTGCAGGCGGAGTCTTTACTGTCTGAGCCACCAGGGAAGCCATGTGCGTGCTGGTGGATTTAAAGACTTAGTCTCTGACTCTCTTCTCTTCTCATTTTTCAGCCTCTTCCACCACTGTTGTGGGTTCCATTACTATCGACATGCTGACAATTTCCAAATGTCTGTCTCTAGCCAAGACCTCTCCTTGAACTCTTAACATTCTTTCCAACTGCCTAGTTTACATTTCCACTTGGATATCCAATAAACATCTCAACTTCACACATTCAAAACTCAATTCCTGATTCTTTCTACCTCCTGCAATTTTTCCCACTTCAGTAACACCACTAACTGTATAGTTGCCTGGGCCAAAGCCTTTAGAACCATCCCTGGCTTTTTGCCTCTTATGCACCCTGCATGCAGTCCATCTGCACACTTGTGGGCTTTACCATCAGAGCACATAAAGAATACTTATGTACATAAGTACATAATACTTTATGTACATAAAGCGTACTTGTGTACACTTCTGCTGCCACTACCCTGGTCCAAGTCACCTCCATCTTTCATGTGAATTGTTCAATAGCCTCCTAGTCTTAATGCCTAGTCCCCTGTCCCATATAGTCTGTCCTCAACCTAGAAGCCAAGCAATCCTTTGCAAATATGTTAGTTCAGAATGCTCCCTTTTCCCCAGTCCTCCAGTAGCCTTCCCATTTCACAAAAGCCAACAAGGCCTTTGCTTAGCAAGCTCTGGGCAACCTCTCTGACCTTATTTCCTGCCACTTTCCCCTAGTTATATGGCTGTAGCTATACTGGCCTCCTTGTAGCTGCCACGGGGCCTTTGTACTTGTCATTTGGGTGAGCTCTATGAGGGTCAGGACTTTGGTCTTTTCACTCCTCTGCCTCTAGCAGACAAACTGGTGGACTAGTGGCTTGTTGCTTTCATTTCACAGATGGGGAAACTGGAAAACAGGAGTGAGCACATGGATGATGGTCAGTAAATAGCTGACTAGAAACTTCCTTTTTTTCTCTTTGGTTCAAGTTTGTATTCATATGTCTTGTTTCACAAATTCTTGTTGGCCCAGCTCATGGCAGGCAGCAGTATTTTTTCTTGTTCTCCCAGCACTGAGAATCTCTGCAAAATTCTGAACACAAAGCCTGGGGGAGCCACTGAAGCCTGGCTCACACTGGGGTCTGGATCCATCAAGAGCAAGGGGATCCCTTAGTGCCAGGCTGAGCTGCTTGGGAGGCATCTCCCATTCTTCTGCCTTTCAGTGATCATCGCTATCTGGGGAGGTGGGCAGGCTGCAGCTGCTGTGGTGGTTTTCGAAAGAAGGAGCCAGACTCTTAAGGGGCCCCAAGGGCTGGGCCTTTTGGGAGTTCAGGGCTGGAGGATGGAAAGCAGCTGCACTGGGATACAGCAGATGCTCACCACGTGCTTCCTGTGAGTCTGGGTCCTGGTGTCACCTCCTCACAGTCCGGGATGGTCAGATCTCCAGCTACGTGAGTCCATTCTGTTATGTTGGACAAATCAACCCTGGCGCCCCATCTGCAAAAAGAAGGGAATGACTGTTGGCCTTTTGCTTATGTGTTTCCTCCTGTTTATTTTTAAAGCTTTATATCTCATGGCCCCAAATCTAAGCCAAACCCTGAGCTCCTGAGCCAGTGGTGGGCAGTGAGACAGTTACCTGGATTTCACTTTCTTTTTCTCTAAAATGTGCTGACAGCTTCAGCCTGAGCTCTGCCCACAGTGTGGCTGTAAGTTTCGGAATAATGATCATGAAGATGATGTCAAGTGTAAAAGTTACATAAGAGTAAATTCTTAAGTCAGTTTTCAGTCCTCCCAATATCCAGTGAGGAAGGTGGGAGGTGACCGTAATGAACATCAACAGTCTTTTGTTGATCCTCTGCGTCAGAGCTGGGAAGGTTTAGATTTAAAGTGGTAAATAGTGATTTAGAGTGCTTCCCTCAGGGCTTAAAGAAGACGTGTGTGACCATGGACCAGGAACGCCCACGCTCTGATCTCAGCATAAACAGCAGAAACGATCTCCGAAAGGTTTTGCATCTTGAATTTCTCTACAAGGAGAACAAGGTACATGCTTTTAAAGTGTGGTGGGGAGTTCTGGAACGGATTTTGGTAATGTCACGGTACTCACAAGCCCTGCCAGGTCATCAGAGACCAGTGGCTGGAGGCTTGCCGTACCTGCGGTCAGGGAGAAACAGACAAATCCCGACTGTGTGCTGGGTTTCCAGCTTCTGTCTGCCCCACCCCACTGTCAGAGCACGCTTGCACCATATGGGGCTCATTTTTGCACCCAGGCCTGAGTCTGTTAACAATTATTCCCTGTGCTCCCTCCTCTCCCGAGAGACTATTTTTAGTAAGACTGTACTGAGGAATATAGCATTCAGTTATGCTAAAATTTTCCATTCTTTGCCTCCAAATGGTTTTCTTTCTTCAGCTCTGAGTAATACCTTTTTCTTAAGGCCACTGTGACATTTAATTCAGGCAGATGCGGGGTTTGGGTTCAGCTAACCCGGGTGTGTTGGAGTTGAGGTAGCAAATGGACTAGGTACCTCCTTGGGTGGTGATGGGGGTGCTTACTTGATCCCCCACCTCGATCCATAAACCTTCAGGATACTGCGTAGTTTTCTTCTGTTGTGCTTATGACGCTTGTAATAGAATATTTGTGTGGGTGTTTACTTAGGGTCTGCCTCCCCCACTACTCTGGACACTTTAAGATACTGTATCCACATACTTCATACATGCTTGATGAGATAGTAAATAGTGTGTATTTATGAATGAATGAATGAACGAGCAAGTGAATTAAGATAACGAATGAATGAATAAAACTATCATTCGGGATACTGGTTGTATCCGCATACTTCATACATGCTTGATGAGATAATAAATAGTGTGTATTTATGAATGAATGAATGAACGAGCAAGTGAATTAAGATAATGAATGAATGAATAAAACTACCATTCTGAATTAATTGCTCTTTCTGTTAGAAGAGAGAATCTTATGATTTGACTTGTCGACTAAAAATGATGCACAATGTGAGGCTTGTGAGTTAAGTGTTATTTGGGGCCAAGTGATGACTGCAGCGTGGGAGGCAGCGTCTCAGATGGCTCTGAGAGACTGCACCAAAGAGGTAGTAGGGGAAGGGCGATATATAAGATTTTGGTGAAGCAGGAGTTCAGTGCAGTCAAGCGCTTCTTTACAAGAGATTTTCTGCTAGTCACAAGGAGCTGATGTCATCATGAAGGGTTTTAATGCTTTTCTAGATATGAGGAGCTTGCAAGGATTAAGATCCTGAAATCAGTTCCTAAAAATATTTCGATATCCTGAAAATATCAGTTCCTGAAAACTGTCTTAAGACTTGTTCCACCAGTTTCCCTGGAGCTCAGAGTGCCTCAGTCTCCACCCTGAACTCCCTCAGGATGCGCCAGGAGCTGCAGCAGCCGGAGTCATCTCCACAGGGGCAGACGGCAAATGCCCTCAGCAAGCACCAGTTCCTAGTTGACAGATTCAGAAGGGGCTCTCCAGCAGATGTTGCCTTGTGGGAGGGCATAGTGTCAGAGCTGGAAAGAATCTTATGGACATGTTGTTCAGCATTTATCACCAGGGGCAGCCGGGTGAAGTCTTTCCAGAAGCCCTGGAAAGACCTTCGTGCTCGGGGTCCTGTGGTGACATGTGGGCCCCTCCATCTCCTCTTCGCACTTGATTGAAGTCCTGTAGACAGAAGACTGCTGCCCAGGCAGCAAACACTCAGCAGTCGTCCCCCGGCTCTCTTACAAGGCAGGAGAGTGCATTGTACATTTTACAAAGGTTTTTTTCCAGAGAGAATGAGACAGTTAAGCAGAAAATTCAATTAACCATTGTGGCACAGTGAGATTTTTGTAAAAATGCAACTTTATCTAACTTCCCAGAAGCATCTTTGCCATTTAAGTTATTTTTATTTCTTCACTGTAGTATGGTCTCCCTAAGGGTAGCTATTATCTTAAGATCCTTAAGGTATTTTCATTAGATCTTGATAAGTACCCTGGTTATTCGATTTATCCAGTCGTTACTAGCTATTATACAATACATTGGAGTTTATATTTTACAGGAAAATACACACATTTATCTATGTCATCATAATTTTGATGTTCACTCAGCTCAAAACTAGAGTGATTCTGGGAAAGCCCTGCAATTTAATGTTAATTTTAGTAATTTGTTTTCCCCTATTAACTATGCCATAGATAAAATGCTTATGTAAAACTAAGGTTTTGAAAAATGGTATCTCGTTTCATATAAAGGCTGTATCTTTATGAGCAAAGTGATATGAAAAAACCACAATGTATAATTCAGGTATTTAGGGCCCCAAATCTCTCATACTGAAAGAAAAATAAGAAGATTGAAGTAAATTATGTAATGTCCCCAGCTCCCCCCCCCACCAACTCTCTTCCTTGTAAGTTTCATTTAGACTTAGACAAAATCGTTTGGGTCCCGTTCTAAAAAATAGAACTGTCCCCTGATTTTGACTGCCTGATGATTCTGTTGAGCTTGGTCATAACCTGTGGGTCCTGGTCCCAGAGTGCTAAGGCTCTGTGCCTTGTGCCAGGCTCTTTATCAGGCACTTTATCCTTCTGACTGCAAAGTCACCACCTGCCCCATGCCTGGCTGCCTTTCCCAAGGGCCTGAATGTTACCCGGCACGTGGGGTGCTGACTGACACATGGGCTAGCTCCTGAGACCAGCTTGGATAACTCTGTCTATGCAAATTACTTAAGGGAATTTCTTTTTTTTTTTACTTAAGGGAACTTCTAAAAGGAATCAGGGCTCTAATCTTGGGCGATTTTGGCTTAGTAAGACTCAGCAAGGCGAGAATTTGTCTTTGAAAGAAACCTTCAAAGGTAACATTTAGTGCTGTCAGGGTAGGGAAGTACTGATACTACTTGTTTCCAAAATCTACTACCCAAGGGTTTCATTTTATCTTTTGCAGAGACTGGAACGTACACTGAGTCAACCCTGACTGCCTCTCTGGCCTCTTGCACTAACCTGCTGCTGTTTGTCCGGCCTTCCTTGCGTGCAGTGTTAGATGTAGAGTCCACAGACTCAGAAGGGGCTTCTCAGGTGGCTCAGTGGAAGAACCCACCTGCAGTGCGGGAGCCACTAACCCGTAGACACGGGTTAGGTCCTTGGGTCGGGGTTAGATCCTCCACAGGAAGGTCCCTTGGAGCGTTGGGTCGGGGTTAGATCCTCCACGGGCAGATCCCCTGGAGGAAGGCATGGCAGCCCACTCCAGGATTTTGCCTGGAGAATGCCATGGACAGAGGAGCCTGGAAGGCTACCGTCCATGGGGTCGCAAAGAGTCGGACAAGACTGGTGACTTAGCACACACACACACACACACAGTGTACACAAACTAAGAAATCATTCAGGTCTCAAATGTTTATAAACTAGTAGAGTTAGTGATCATAAAGACTTAATTTTTTTTTTTTGAATGAAAGGATATATATTTTAGAAATTTATTTCCAGGCGAAAAAAACCAAGAGGAAATTTGATTAGGTATGCCTCTGTTCATATCACATTTTATTACATTTATTATCACTGAATCTCCTGTCTCAAGCATTGGATGCTAATTCTTTGAAGGTATTGGTTTTATTTTCATCTCTGTTGCTACCTAACACAGAACTTGACATATAATTAGTCAGTGAATGTTTGCTGAGAGAATGTATGATTGAGTAAGAAGTTAATAAGTTATGTCAAAGAATTGCAGTGGCTGCTTTTCCCACCCTTTCTCTAAAGCTGTGAATAAATTAAGGATTTTTTTTCTTCCAATGATAGGCAAAGGAAAATCCTCTAAAAACAAACCTTGAACTCATTACCAGATACTTTCTGGATCACTTTGGGAATATTGGTAACAATGTTACTCAAGAAACACCAATCCCTGCACTCTCAGTACCAAAGAAAAGTAACAAACTACCATGGAGAAGCTCAGAGACTGCTTTGATAAACATATATGACCTTGCAGATGAAGATGAGAGCTGGAGAACATCATTGTCAGAAATAAGTAAAACCAGGTATCTCTTCTCATTTACACTGTGGATTAGTTTCTTATTTCTTCTGTAATAAATTGTGATAAACTCAGTGGCTGTAATAGGGTTCTCCAGAGATACATGACCAGCAGGAACCAATAGGATATATAAATGTGTATAGGTATAAATGTACATTGGTTTCCAAGGTCGTGCTAATGGTAAAGAACCCACCTGCCAATGCAGCAGATGTTAAGAAATGTGGTTTGATACCTGAGTTGGGAAGATCCCCTGGAGGATGACATGATAATCATCCTCCAGTTTTCTTGCCTGGAGAATCCTCTGGACAGAGGAGCCTGGAGAGCTACAGTCCACAGGGTCTAAAAGAGTCAGACACTACTGAAGTGACTTAGCACACATGCATAAATATATGTATGCATAAATGCTAGGTATTTAAAGATTTATTTTTAAGGAATTGGTTCATGTGGTTGTAGGGGCTGGCAAGTCTGAAATCTATGTGGCAGACTAGTATGCTGGAAGCTCAGGCAGGTTTTCTGTGTTACAACCTTGAGGCAGAATTACTTCTTTAGGAAACTTCTGTTTTTTTTCTTAAGGTCGTCAACTGATTAAATGAAGCCTATCTATATTATCTAGGGTGATATCCTTTACTTAAGCAGCTGATTGTAGATATTAATCACATCTAAAAAATATCTTCATAGCAACATCTTGACTAGTGTTTGACCAAACACTTTGGGAGCATAACCTAAACAAGGTGACCTACAAAACTGAACCATCATGATGTCCTAAAGTGACACCAATTTATTACCTTACAGTTCTGAGGTCAGAAGTCTAAAATTGGTCTCACTGGGCTAATGGCAAGGTGTCAGGAGGGTTGGTTCTTTCTAGAAACTTTGAGGGGAGAATCTGTTTCCTTCCTAAATTCTAGAGGCCGCCTCCATTCCTTGGCTTGTGGCCTTTTCCTCTCTCTTCAGAGCACATCCCTACAACCCCTGCTTCTGTTGTCACATCTACTGCTGACTCATCCTCCTGTCTCCCTCTAAGAAGGACCCCTGTGATTATGCTGGGCCCACCCAGCCAATCTATGGTAATGTGCCCATCTCCAGATTCTTTCTGTTTATTTTTTGCTGGAATATAATTGCTTTACAACATTGTGTTGGTTTCCTCCATACAACATCGTGGGTCACTTGTATGTATACATTTATCCCCTCCCTCTTCATCTCAAGAGTCTTAACATAGTCATGTCTGCAAAGTCCTTTTCTTTTGCCATGTAAGGTAACATATTCATGGGTTCCAGGGTTTAGGGTGTGAACATCTTCAGGAGGCCGTCACTCAGCCTCCCACCCTCTGCGTTTTCTGAATCCCTGTCATGGAGCACTGTTATTTTTCTCCAGAGGCCATGGGAATGGACCACTTTGTGATGGAGGATACTTATGATTCAAAATGTGTAATTTAATTTCCATGATTCAGAAGGTTCAAGGGCTTCCTTTGTTTGCATGTTCTTAAAGACGGGTATAGAATTCTGAAAGGCCATAGAACACTGGAGAGATGAAAAAATCTGAAAAATAAGTCCTTTTGGAACTCAGAAAAAAAAAATGAATTGGCATTCTTTTTTTAAAAAAACTCTTTATTTGTTTTTTTGCACTGGGTCTTACCTGTGGCACGAGGATCTTCAATTTTTGTGGGATCTAGTTCCCCAGCCAGGGATTGAACTTGGGCCCCCTGGATTGGGGGTGCAGAATCTCAGCCACTGGGCCACCAGGGAAGTCCTGCTTTCTTACTTTCTTAAACATACACACACATACACGTGCACCATCTTTCTTCCTTATTCTTTCTCTCTCTCAATGCCAAGCAACCCAAGAAAAGAAGCTGTTGCCATGCCCAACTTTGCTGAACTTTAACTGGGAACACCAAGTTTGTCAAAGGTCTCTATCCACCACCTTGAATGGTGTGCAGTAATGGGGCTCCACCCCTTTCAAGACTATACCATCGTTCCCCATTATCCATGGGGGATACATTCCAAGACCCCCAATAAATGCCTGGAACCCTGGTTAGTACTAAACCCTATATATACTACAGGTGGGGTGGGGTGGGAGACTATTGTATTGAAGGGCGACAGTTTTCCTTAATCACTGGGGTCTGGGAGAAACAAGGATGCTCTTTATGTTGACAATTCAAGGAATCCTAGCATCAGTCATCAACCCTGATTTTGTTTCTTGGTTCCGGTCTCATTCTGTAGGCCAGACCTGCCCAGATACAGGAGTCTGCTCTTTTCCTTACCTTTAATGATAAAGCTGGTTAGAAATCACCACAGATTTGTGAATGGGCTTACTGTGAGTGCCTGTGGACTGTGCAATTTATTATTATTGCTAACGATTTCCCTTGAGGACTCTTGTTTTAATGCAAATATCCCTTTTTTGCAGACAAGACAGTCTTGATGGGGATGTACTTGGTCATTTTGTATCATCCAAAAGGTCCTCGCACAAAAGTAGGCCCATAAAGACTGTCCCAGGTGAAGGCCCCCCTGTGGCTTCTGCTTGGGAGAAGATGGACAAGCTTCCAATGTCAGAGCCTTCCTTGGACACGAAGAGGATGGGAGAGAAGGTCAGGCCAAAGTCTGGGCTGATTGTCCGAGGCATGATGGCTGGGCCCATTGCCAGCTCCCCACAGGTGGGCTTGATGCTTGAACTATGAGCATGATGAGCTATGAGCTATGAACTATGAGCTATGAGCTATGATGCTTGAACTTGATGCTATGAGTGTGGAAATTGAGGATAGGCATGGCTTAAGGGGTGCTTGGGTTTATTTAGGGTGCCCCACAAGACAGCTCCAGAAGGGAGGATATATGTCGTGGGATGGGCAAGAAGAAGGGGCCTTTTATCATTCCCTAGCTCTCCTGCCAGCTCCCTGTGGGGCCATGGCCTCGTCACCTACCCTTCCCTCAGTTTACCCATCTTATCAACCAGGTAGTTACCGTGGTTCTATGTTCCTTTGCCGAGTGAGAACACATCGACCAAGGTTTATCTTTGCAGTTCAGGAGTGGGGGACCCAGCCAAGTCTAGAGAACATATTTTTGATTTTTAAAAACATGATAGTGAAAAGAGAAAAAGAAATCCCAATCCTTATAGTTTGGTTTTGCTTTAAAAAAATTCTAAAAATTTAACACCAATGTTTTACAGTCTCCCTTAAAAAGAGGCGATGGTAGGGTCCTGTCAGATGAGAAACTAAAGCAAAGGAGAGGATGAATGTAAAAGGAGTTTGTAAAATGAAAGAGAGACAGAACAAAGGAAAATCAAACACCAAACTCATAGTGTGGTGTCCTTCAAATCAGGGAGCCTGAGCAAACCAAAAGCAGGGCATCTGTGTCCACGCTGGTCGCCCCCACTCTTGGGGCAGCATGTGTACACGCGGGTGAGGCTTCAGGGGCCAGCACTCTTCTCCCAGTTCATCTGGAATTAAAGGCAAAAAGCAGTGGACCCTCTCTCTGCCCCTGCCTACATATTGTGAGACGTTCAGACAGGGTCTTTAAAGGTCTTTTGGACATGGTCTCTTTGGCCATGGTCTTGTTTGTTAGACCAGGTGTCCAAGACCCCTTTGAGATCTGGAATTTCATGGCTCAGAGATGGTCATGCAGTTGGAAAAGTGAAAAGTTTCTTTATTGTCTTTTCAGAAAACTAGGGGTATTCTTTACTGTTACATCAAAGCTAGACAAGTTGTTTCTTAATGTGGAATCTGAAGCTATCCCAATGAACTTTTTGTGTGTTATCAGTTTTCATTGGTTTGTCTTGCACTTTGAATGAATCTTTTACCACTGCATGGCTTAGTAACATGATACGTTGGTCACATGAAAGTTATTGTTTTGTGAAGTTATATAGAGCCTCTGAATGTTGACACATTTCATTATACAAGAAACCATATAAAAAACCACATTTGTTAATGTCGTCACTCAACTCATCAGAAAGTTTTTAAGTATCAGGAAGCCCTTGAGTTCATAATGGCAAACATGTTTCTCCAAATTTTGATTTTTAAGGTAACTTGTACTTGATCACTGGCAACAATGTATCATTTGTTTCCCTTGAGTTCAATTTATTTTCAAGAAAATGCCTGCCAAATACCTGTCTGAATTAACCATAGTTCATCTGTCAGTGGTTCCATGAAAAATAGTAGCAAGTTCAGCTCACAACTCAGATGGCTGCATAGAGGGCTTTGCCTAGTTACAGCCTTCATCATCTGTATCCTGCACAATGTTTATATATACCTCCTACTTTGCCACAGACTATTAAAGAGATGTCGTTAACACAGGATCAAGATCGGATGCAATTAACATTTTCTGTGCATCAGCATGGACATTCTTAAGTGAAATTAGCATTTTTATTGTAAGTGTGGTTGAATACCTCGAGCAGTGGTATAGTTTGATGCCGCTGTCTTGATTCATGCTAAAGGCCAGCAGGTTTTCGCACCAGTGCTTTTGGACCATCACTGCAAACATCAACATAGTGAAAAAGGCACATTATATCTTATTATATTAACAAAAATAGTTTTGAGCGCTCTGAAAGTGTTTGGGCGCGGACCACTAAGGTTGATGGGCTATACTTGGAGAACTGGTGGACCGGATGAATGTTAGCGTCCTGTCGTACCATGACTTACTCTTTTTATACATATTTATTTGTTTGGCAGTGCCGGGTCTTAGTTGGGGCACGAGGGATCTTTGATTTTCATTGTGGCATGAGGGACCTTTAGTTGTGACATGTGGGATCTAGTTCCCTGACCAAGAATCAAACCTGGGTCCCCTGCATTGGGAGCTCAGAATCTTAGCCACTGGACCACCAGGGAGGTCCTGCCTACCATGACTTTCAAATCATCAAGTCTGTGCAGTTCAGTCCCCTTCAGTACTGAGGTGTGAGGCTTGGACCTCCTTTACTACTGAGAGATTGCTGCAAACTCCTCCCCAAAGGAGAATCTGTTCTCCTCTGAGGTGTTCTTTTCTCCTGGGGTATCTGAATCTTGTGAAGGGACACTGAGGCAGAATTTCCCTAAGGTTTCCTGGAAGGTGTCCTGTGGACTTTTGAGTGCCTTGGCCATACAAGAGAAAAGAGCGAGGTTTGCTAGGTATTGCATCATTTTTTACTGCCAGGTCCGCTCTGCTCTTTCGAAGGCTGAGTAAGAGGCTGGGTTCCCTGCCCTTGGCCGGAAGTTTGGGTCTCCTTGGGAACAATGACTAATGTTTTCTTTGCTCTGTGGCAAGGGATGCCCTGGGTGGCTTTCGGAGGAGGTTTATGGTGCCTAGTAATTTCCACTGGGTGGGAACAGGACAGAATTAGATGTTCTTTTTTTGGCACAGGCTTTACCATTTGGCTCAGGATTATTTCTGGAATTGCTGAGAGGTCCAGAAAAAGCTCAGCAGGTGTATTTTTGTCTCCTCCCTCTACTCCTCCACCTCAGATGGGTAACAATGTGTTCCCATTTCACTGGTTAATGATTGATAGAGAGGACGCTTCAGCTGACTCCTCTGAAGTTCCTTCATTTTGGAAGTGAGCAAGACTTGATTGCTTACTAGGTATAGGTCACTGAACTGGGAAGTCCTGGGGACACCAGAGAGGAAGGAATAACGGCCCCCATCACTTGGTCTACTGGCAGGAAGGGGTAGGGCCATGAGTATGCGGAGACAGGGGCAAAGATACTAAGCAGTAGTGTTATAACATTTGCTGGCTGCTTCGAGGGGTTGGCTCTGTGCTACTGCCATACATGGGTCTGGGTCTCTTCTTTAGCCCTCACTGTGATCTTGTGGGAGGTCAGCACTGCAGGTCCCCAGTCCTTTATCCAAAACCTTTGGGCCAAACGTGTTTTGTAATTTAGATTTTTTTTTTAAACTTCAGAAAGGAAATACAGTGCATAAACCACAGAACACCTGAAGTAGGGTTTGGTATAGCATCCCATAAACAAGACATATCTGCCACAAAACATATGAATATTCATGCTTGAAAAAAGACCCCAAGGGAATTCCCTGACAATCCAGTGGCTAAGGTTCCTCACTTTCACTGCTGAGGGCCAGGGTTTGATCCCTGATCAGGAAACTACGATACCCCAAGCCCCGTGGTATGGTGGGGAAAAAAAAGACTACAAGTAACTTCATAATAATTAAAAAGAATTTGCCATAGGAATCCAACAGAAATGTTCATTTTTTAGATGTTTTGGGGTTTAGAAATTACAGATAGCAGGTTGTAGACAGATTAGATTATAGGAATGGGAAATGAGGGACAAAGAAGTTCAATGACTTGTCACAGGGGACATGGCTAGCAGGTGGCAGTTCAGGAATTAGAACACGTCTGACCCTGGAGCTCTCTGTTAGGGGTATGGGAGGGGGCTGAGGCATGCTCCCGGGGTTTATGCTCGTGGGGTGCTGTGAAAGCAAGAGAGAAGTGGGGCTCCTGAGAGTCTCCTCAGAGGGTAGGTAGAATTTTAAGAGAAGGAATTGAGGATGGAAAAGACATTCCCTGGGGAGGGAGCATCATAGTCTAGAAGTAGGTTATTTCCCACCTCCCTCCAAGGGGATCCTCACCTCTGCTTCTGTCCTTGTCCCTTTCAGGATTCCCTCCGCAGACGCTCGCTGAGGCGGTCCCCGGCCTTGAGCAGTGCTGCCCAGCCTCACAAGGAAGGGAGCCCACAAGAGCCCGAGCTCTCTACTCACACTTCCAGCTGTCCCGCCCTGCCGGAGGGACCAGCTTCCAGCACCGCCCCCACCTCTAGGAGCCCCCGGGGCCCGCTCATTGAGCTGGCCAGGGAAAGACGGAGAGCCTCACCTGGCAGCCCGCCTCACCTGCCAGGCAAAGGGCTACCCCCCAGGGGGAGTGGCAGGTGGGGAGACCTTTCCGAAGACAGTCCAGCCATGGACGGTGGCTCAGAGGCCAACAAAACTGCTTCGAAGTTCTCCCTGTCCAATGGGAATGTCCTGATGACCCAGGAGAGGCCGGAGGGAGTGTTTGAACGGCAGGGGAGCCAGCCCCCATCCCTCAGGTGAGTGTGCTGTGCCCAGGTGATGGTTTTTCAGAGAACCGTCCAGTCCTGAGTGGCTCCCTGGGCTCCGAGTGTGGCTGTGAAGTGGGAGAGGTGATGCTCGTCACCCCACCAGGGAGAAAACAGCCTAGAGCCCACACACCAGGAGGCTTTGGGGAGGCTTCCTTGGCTCTTCTTACTTCTTCTCAAGGGTCAGGCTGACGTGGTATAAGAGGTGTGTGGAGGCCAGAGGTGTGATGGTGAATCAGCTGCTACAAGGCTCTGTAAGGGGCAGTTTTTAAAAACCCTATCCTGAGTCCTTTTGTTTATTCTTTCACAGTGGACCTTGAGGATTCGTACACTGGTTGATTTTTGAATGTTAAGCCAACCTTACATTTCTGGAATAAAACACACTTGGCTGTCATATATTAATTTTACTCATTGTTTGATTTAATTTATTAGTATTTTGTGTAGGGTTTTTGTATATAAATTCATGAAGGAGACTGGCAAATTTCCTTTCTAGGAACAACAGCCTTGTTAGATTTTTATATCTAGGATATGCTAGAAGTAGTTCCTCTCTCTTTTTTTTAAATAGTCTTGAATAGTTAGTGTAAGATTGGTGTTATTTCTTCCTTAAACATTTGAGAGAATTTTCTAAGCATTGAATTAAAAGGTTTTAAATTATGAATTCAAATAAAAAATTTTTAAATTAAAGTTATCTTTAATTAGTTATAATTTTTAATTAAAGTTATCTTTTAAAATGTTTTAAAAATAGCATTTATTTCTTAAAAGTTAGCATGTGCATAATAGGAAAAAAAACACAAGAAGCAAAAAACAAAGTCATTCATAATCACAAGTAGTTTAGCATTTGTTTATCTTTCTAGGTATCATTTGTGTATTTTCACAACTAAGCATCCATTTTTATGTATAATTAAAATTTTCTATTTCATTTTGTGTCAGTTTTGGCAAGTTGTATTTTTCCAAGGAATTTAACCATTTAATTTATATTTTAACTTTATGTATATAAAATTGTGTAATTATAATGTCTTCTTATTGTCACTTTAAAGTCTGTAAGATCTTCAAGATTGTCTCTGTTTCCATTCCTGATGCTGGCAATTTGTGTTTATCTCTCAACTAGTTTAGTAGGGGGTTGTGAATTATATGCTCTTTCTTTCAAAGAGGTAACTTTTGGCTTTGTAGGTTTCAGTTCAGTTTAGTTGCTCAGTCGTGTCCGACTCTTGTTTGCTTAGACATTTTTTGGCTAGTTTATTTGATATGTATACATATAGAATTATTATAACTTTCTGTTGGGGACACTTTTCTATTATTATGAAATCTTTCGTCATTTCTAGTAATGCTTATTGCCTTAATGTCTATTTAGGAATAGCTACCTCAGCTTTCCTTTGATTCCTAGAACTTTTCTGGTGGCTCAGACGGTAAAGCGTTTGCTTACAATGCGGGAGACCCGGGTTCAATCCTTGGGTTGGGAAGATCTCCTGGAGAAGGGAATGGCAACCCACTCCAGTATTCTTGCCCCCCCCCCAAAAAAGGGGGGCTCAAAGAAATATTTGGGCTTCCTGGTGGCTCAGATGGTAAAGTGTCTGTCTGCCATGCTGGAGACCTGGGTTCGATCCCTGGGTCAGGAAGACCCCCTGGAGAAGGAAATGGCAACCCATGCCAGTATTCTTGCCCCCTCTCCCCCGCAAAAAAGGGGCTCAAAGAAATATATGGGCTTCCTGGTGGCTCAGACGGTAAAGCGTCTGTCTGCAATGCTGGAGACCCGGGTTCGATCCCTGGGTCGGGAAGATCCCCAGGAGAAGGAAATGGCAACCCACTCCAGTACTCTTGCCTGGAAAATCCCATGGACAGAGGAGCCTGGTAGGCTATAGTCCATGGGGTCGCAAAGAGTTGGACACGACTGAGCAACTTTACTTTACTTTACCTCAGCTTTCCTTTGACTAGTGTTTTTATGGTATATCTTTTCCATCTTTTTACTTTCATTTATTCATATTTAAGGGTGTCAACTAAAAGCCTTTGGGGTTTATCAGGCTTTCCCCTTTTAAAAGCTAATTATTTAAACTGAACTAAAACAAAGCAGAACAAAAACAGGTTACCCATTTTTCCCACCTTCTACCCACCTCAGCCTTCTTCTTTTGTAATATCTTTTAAAGCTACAAATTTCCCTCTAAGTAATGCTTTGTCTGTATCCCACATGTTAATCATATATTTAATTTTATACATATATAATTAATTAATCATATAATTTAGTTTAAACATTTTCTCATTTCTGTTGTGATTTATTCTTTTGAGCCATGGGTTATTTAGACATGTATCAACTAATTCAAAGCCTTTGGACTATTTTTCTGGTTATCTTTTTGTTGTTGATTTCTAGCTTATTTCTACATTGTTCATAATATATTCTCTATGATTTCAGTCCTTTTGATATTAAGATTTCTTTATGGTCTAGTGTATATTTAAAGTTTATCTCCTATGGGCAGCATGTATTTGGATTTTTAAATCTTGTCTGATAATTTTTTGCTTTAGTTGAAATAATTATTGCATTTGCATTTTCCTTTTGCTTAAAGAACTTAACTTTCTGTAGTATTTCTTTAACAGATATGTTACATTTTTTTCAATTTTTGTTTAGTGATGTCTTTATTTTGCCTTTATTTTTGAAGGATATTTCAATGGGTATAAAATTCTAGATTGGTGGTTTATTTTTTCAGGACTTTAAATATTCCATTGTCTTATCTTTGTATTACTCTTTTGAAGGTAGTGTGTCTTATGTTTTGTTTTGTTTTTTTCTTTTTTTTTTAACCTCTGGCTGCTTTATTCCCCCATCTTTTAAAATTTTCTCATTCTTTGATGTAAACAGAGCTACTATAATGTGCCTCAACATGGTTTTCTTTGATGATTCTACTTGGGGTATGTAGTGAAGTGAAGTGAAAGTTGCTCAGTCGTGTGTGACTCTTTGTGACCCTGCGGACTACACAGTCCATAGAATTCTCCAGGCCAGGATACTGGAGTGGGTTGCCATTTCCTTCTCCAGGGGATCTCCCCATCCCAGGAATCAAACCCAGGTTTCTTACATTGCAGGTGGATTCTTTACCATCTGAGTCACAATGGGATATGTAGAACTTCCTGCATTTTGGGATTGCTACCTTTCATCTGTTTTGAAAGTTATTATCTATTATCTTTTAAAATATTGCTTTTATCCCATTTTCTCTTTTTTCTCCTGGCCCTCCAGTTACACATATACTAAATAGGAAAGAATGTTTTCCTGTATTTCCATCTTTTTTTTTCTTCTCTCTCTTCTTTAATCTAGGTATTCTCTTTTGATATACCTTCTGGTTCATGTTTCTTCTCTTTTCCATGCTATTAAATATATATATAATAAATTCTTAATTTAATTATTTTTCAGTTTTATAATTTCTATTTCTTTTTAAAAAATAGCAATCTTTTGTGAGATTCTCCATCTTTTGTTTTCTTGAGCATATTATTCACAGTCATTTTATATATTTATTTATTTCACAGTCATTTTAAAGTCCTGTTTGGTAACTTCCTTATCTGGATCACCTATAGGTCTATTGATACTGTCTGTTTTTCTTTCAGGTTTTGATCATTTTGTCCTGTTTCTTTTCATTGATAAACTGAATTCCAGACATTGCATAGGAATAATTGTAGTGGTTAATGTTGTCTTGTTAATGTTATCTTCCTCCAAGAGAATTTAATTTTCTTTAGGTAGATATTAATCTCTCATTAGTTTTAGACTGTAAAATAACTTCTGTCATTCTGTTATTTGTCCCATAACTTTGTCCATTATCACCTTTGTTGAACAGAAATTCTTAATTTTGACATAATTAAGAAATTTCTTGTTTGGCATATGATTTGTATTTTTTCTTTATTAAGTTCATTCTTTCCTTTAGATTTCACTGATATTCTCTTATGTTTTTCCATTAACTTTATAATTTTAGCTTTCACGTTTAGGTATTTAATCTTTAGTATTTGTTAGGCTGAAAGACTCACTTTTATTTTTCTCCATATATTCAATAGTAAGAGTTTTCCTAGCATCACCTACTCTACAATTTGTTCTTTCCCCATAGATTCATGGAGCTGTCTTGATTCTTTTCTAAGTTCACATATAGATGTTGTTGTTGTTGTTGCAAAGTTGTGTCCAACTCTTGTGTGACTCCATGGACTGTAGCCTGCCCAGCCCCTCTGTCCATGATATTTCCCAGGCAAGAATACTGGAGTGGGTTGCCATTTCCTTTTCTACCCATGTAGACATGGATCTGTCTTTGATCTCTCTGTGTTTCATTGGTGCTTTTTTTAAAATAAAAAATACACATGACCATAGCTTTTAGTACTATTGCATTGTAGTTATAACCTATTATGTTGGTAGGATCAGTTCCCTACTTCTCCTTTCTTTTAGGATTGACAATACAGATCTTTATTCTCTGTTCCTCCAACATGTCTTGCTTCTTTCTACATGAGGAAGAACTGGTTCGTCCCCTTGCTGTAAAGGTCCTGCTCTCAAATGATCTCATGACTGTCTCTTTCTTGTCAATCAGATGTTCTGTACTCATAGTGGTTTTATTTGACTAACTTCACCTCCACCCCATCACCTCTAGCCTATTTTATTGTTTATTACAGCATCTATCATTGCCTGAAATGGGCTCTGGAGTCTGATGACCTGAACTGGCAAACCACCTCTGCCCTTTATAACAACTGTGGCCTTTGACCAGTTATCAAACCTTTGAAAGATAATATAAACTTTGTTTTATAGGAAGAGGTAGGTGGCAGGTAAACATGCTGCTGCTGCCCCCTCCTTCAGGACCAGGTGAAGTACCACTAGGAGTGTTTAACGTGTGATCATAGTGTTGATCTTTATATCAGTAAACATTTTGGGAGCTTTGTTGTTTACCTTCTACTTACTCCCTGTATACTGAGCACCATGCAAAAACACTTGTGTATATTATCTCATTTGCTCTTTAGGATAATCCATTGAGGTGGATATTATT